AGACTTAATAAATCTTCAACCTCTTATCACAATGGCAAACGGAAATCCATTCATAGCTGAAGCGTTGGTAAATGGGCAAAGGAATTATGAAACTATTATAATGCACCTGGGAAATAGGAATATAGTTTACAGTGGGGGAGACCATTGATTCATCTAACCCAAATTTGGGTTTCCAGCTGTTTTTGGACTACAGTTCCCATCATCCCCGACCACTTGTCCTGCTAGCTAGGGATGATGGGAGTTGTAGTCCAAAAACAGCTGGAGATCCAGGTTTGGGGCAGAAGCTCCTTCTAGCCTGCCCAGGAGACAGTGGAGATTGAACCAGTTACCTTCTCCATACAAAATAGATGCTCTACCATTATACAATGCCCCTGACCCAGAAATACATCTTTGCATGAAGTTGCATCACTGGGAATAAGTTATCTGTGTGTTCAGACCCAGAAACCGCCCCCCCCAACAAATTCACACATGACTCAAAATTTTGGTTTGGTTTTCGGCAGATTTTAGGCCACAACTTTATTGATTACAGAAAGTGACTGGTTGCATAGGCTTTGGTTCGACTAGCTCCCTGCCATGCAGGTAGCGCTGACACCAGCATAGGTCAGGGCACCAGCATAGGTCAGCCAAGGGTGAACACCTGGATAAGCGGAAAGCCGGGCATGGGCTAACTCAGCCACCCAAATGTTCCCTGGACTCAGGCAAAGGCACAACCCACTCACAGGGGTTGACAAAATCATCGAGTTCCTGGATTCCTTTAACAGAATACCCTTCACATAGGGATGGCGAGAGCATTCTCCCATCCCTATCACCTGAACCAGAACCTATCCGCAACCTTACAAGTTGTGACGATTTGCTACGTGGCAGGCAAAACCCAAATGGCAACAGCCAATCAGCCAAGTGGGAAAAATTCCTGCCATGCCCCTGTCCCAACGACAGACTACACACGATGACATAGCAAGGTCAAGCGCAACAAGCCCTAAAAGTAGGGAGAGGTGGGCGGGTGTTCCGAATGCACGCGCCGAAAGAGGAAGCTCTGGGTCACGTGCATGGGCATAAATACGTCCCCTGAACTGTTTTGGATTGCATCCCATTGGCCAGATTGTACCCAGCTTCGAGGGACCTACCAATTGGGTGTTGTGGCTTACCAAATGTTCCCACCCACAACACAGGGTGTCGGTTGTCCAGGTCTCACCGCAATACATGCCCTATTTAAGGGAGGACCAAATTTGTGGCCACAGGAGGTCAAATACCATGGACATTTGGGAGTACAGCAGGAATGCCCTCTTCCAAATCGTCCTCATAATCTGGATTGTGCATTATCTGGCTCTAAGAAGAGCAAATGGATATTCTGGGAGTGCTCCTATTCAGCATCCGCATTTGAAAACCAAAGATGCTGCTGTAGCTGTCAGAATCGGGCAGTACCTGACATCAGAAAGTATTTGACAAGATTCAACTGCTGAAATAAAGTAGATGTCAGCGCATGACAGCATCAGATATGTAGCATTCAGCATTTCACATTACGTGACAGAGGACAGGCGGTAGAAATCAGGATTTGACAGATTTGGAATGCTGATGCAATAGAAGTGACTGGACTCAACGGTGATTTCATTCATTCACCTCATCAGAACTTGCAGTCGCAAAAATTTGACGTCAGATTACAACTTTGGTATTGGATTGTCAGAATTCAGCGTCAAATTTCAGCCGCAGAATCCGAATTTGAAAATTTGCTTGAATTTGAAATGTGAGGCATTTTCAGTCTGGCTCTGATGCAAAAATACTTTGGGTTGCCCATTGCATTTCTTGTGTGTACTGAGCATGCATGTGCAAATAATGTATATCTGAGCAGTTGACATTTGAATGCTGTTTACACTATTCCATCTTCTGGTGGATGTGCAGAGGAGAGTGACTAAGATAAACAAGCGTCTGGAAAGGTTGAAGGATCTGAGTATGTTCAGTCTGGAAAAGAGGAGACTGAGAAGACACATGATAGCCATCTTCAGATATCTCAGGGGCTTCCACATGGAAGAGGGAACAAGCTTGTTTTCTCCTTGTTTAGAAAGTAGGACCCGAAGCAGTAGATTCAAGCTACAAGGAAGGACATTCCAAGTGAACATCATAAATAACTTTCTGATGGTAAGAGCTGTTCATCAGTGGAATGGTCTTCCTCAGGAGATTGTGGACTCTCCTTCCTTGGAGGCTTTTAAGCTGAGGTTGGATGACCATCTCTCATGGATGCTTTAGTTGAGATTCCATGTACACCAAGACATAACCGGCTGTACTTTTGAATAAATAAGGTATACTATTCATTGTATCAAATTGTAGATTTCAACGTCTCATAAAGTTCAATGAAAAAAGCAGAAGACCCAGTGGATCAGATCATTCTGTAGTCAGTTCATGCATAAGGTCCATACATATATAAGTATCTATTCCACCTGTCTGTTAATAGAGTCCAAGAATCCACACGAAGGGTTGTTACAGTTTCACAGAATCCTTTCACAGAGTCTAAGACAATAATAGGTTGTTTTCTGCTGCTCCAGAGAAGCGGACACGGAGCAATGGATCCAAACTACAAGAAAGAAGATTCCACCTAAACATTAGGAAGAACTTCCTGACAGTAAGAGCTGTTCGACAGTGGAATTTGCTGCCAAGGAGTGTGGTGGAGTCTCCTTCTTTGGAGGTCTTTAAGCAGAGGCTTGACAGCCATATGTCAGGAGTGCTCTGATGGTGTTTCCTGCTTGACAGGGGGTTGGACTCGATTGCCCTTGTGGTCTCTTCCAACTCTATGATTCTATAATAATAATAATAATAATAATAATAATAATAATAATAATAATAATAATAATTTATTATTTGTACCCCGCCCATCTGGCTGGGTTTCCCCAGCCACTCTGGGCAGCTTCCATAGAAACCAAAAAACACTAAAATATCATACATTAAAAACTTCCCTGAACAGGGCTGCCTTAAGATGTCTTCTGAATGTCAGGTAGTTGTTTATCGTTTTGACATCTGATGGGAGGGCGTTCCACAGGGCAGGAGCCACTACCAAGAAGGCCCTCTGCCTGGTTCCCTGTAGCTTTGCTTCTCTCAATGAGAAGGATTTCCGGAATATTAGCCTTGTTTCCCCATCCTAGGCTTCATCAGTAGAACAGGCTCTAGGCAATGCAAATGAATACAATGTCATAATCTCACACATTTTTACAGCAAAATTAATATAAAACCATAATATCGTATATCGAAAAAACATCCATTCCATATGTAATATTACAGGATAGTGGATCTTATAGCATAGTAGTGGTTGCAGTAAGCAGCGACTGTTACAAAGCAGGGTTATATGGACCGGCACAATATTGGTTTGAGTAACCATAGGTTTGTTGCTTTTGTTTTGCTTAGTTGAGATTCCTGCACTGCAGGGAGTTGCATTAGATAACTCTTGGGGTCCCTTCCAACTGTAAGATTCTATGCTTTTATGAACAGTCTATCCTCTTCAGAACACAGGTCAAAACCAGCACTTTGAAATAGGCCCAGAAACTAGCTGGTAGCCTGTGCAGTTGGACCAGGATTGGTGTAATATGCTCAAACCATCTTGTCACCTGGCCACCAAATTCTTCACCAGCTGAAGTTTCTGAACCATCTTCCTGCCACAGCGGTACCTATTTATCTACTTGTACTGGTGTGCTTTTGAACTGCAAGGTTAGCAGGAGCTGGGACAGAGCAACGGGAGCTCACCCCATTGCATGGATTCAAACCGCCGACCTTCTGAGGCTCAGTGGTTTAGACCACAGCGCCACCCGTGCACCATATCCTGGAGTACCCCCAAGCTATGTACCTACTCCTTGACAGTGTAACCCCATCAAGAGCAGGCCACCTCCCAGCATTCTGGTCTAGGGAATTGCCCACTAACAGTGTCTCAGTCTTATCTTGAAAGACCTACATTAGCTACATTAGCTACCTTCAGAAACTAACAACTAAATGCAGCAGCTAGACTGGTGACTGGGAGTGGCCATCAATACCATATAATACCAGGCCAAAAGGATCTTCACTGGTTCCCAGTACATTTCCAAGTACAATTCAAGTGTTTGTGCGGACTTTTAAAGCTCTAAACGGCCTCAGCCCTGTAGAAGGAGCGTCTCCACCTCCATCGTTCAGCCCGGACACTGATGTCCAGCTCTGAGGGCCTTCTGGCGGTTCTCTCACCGTGAGAAGTAAGGTTACAGGGAACCAGGCAGAGGGCCTTTTCGGTAGTGGCACCCGCCCTGTGGAACGCCCTCCCACCAGATGTCAAAGAGAACAACAACTACCAGACTTTTAGATGACATCTGAAGGCAGCCCTGTTTAGGGAAGCTTTTAATGTTTGATGCATTACTGTATTTTAATATTGTGTTGGAAGCCGCCCAGAGTGGCTGGGGAAACCCAGCCAGATGGGCGGAGTATAAATATATTATTATTATTATTATTATTATTATTATTATTATTATTATTATTATTATTATTATTATATCTGGATTGAGCTTCAGTTTGTTGGCTCCCTGAAACCCTGGAGGGCTGCTGCCTGCCCGTGTGGGCAATACTGAGCTCAATGAAGCAGTGGTCTGACACGGCACAAGGTGGTTTCTTAGATTCCTGCGCTCCACATTCACCTGTGCTGCAGCATCCCTGACCTGATTTTTCCTCCCAAGTGAAAAATCACTGACAACACCTCATCCCCTTTTCTGTTTCCCTTCGCTTCCCATCCAAATCCCGTTCAGATTTGGTTTGCTATTTCTATATTCCTATCTCGACTGCAAAAAAAAAAAAAGTCTGTTTAAAATAATAGCAATAATTTCCAAAGACCAGACCGCAGGATGAACAATGGCAATGGAGAAGAGAGAGAGAGAAAAACATGAAATTAAAGCGACCCAACTTTTGTGCGCTCTTTCAAAAGAAAACGCTCTTTCGGAACGGCTCCGCCTGCATTAAACCGGTCGCGACCTCCCAGGTGTCTTTAAGGCTGAAGTGTTTCCTGGACCATTTAAAGCTACTCTGGCTGGGCTCATGTGACCCGCCTGACATTGGGAGATGGGGCTTTTAAGAACACCGCCACCTTGTCAATGGAACAGAGGTCACTAATAGCCTTGCCTTGGGCCTTCCGACGGGGTCGCATTCAGATTGCAAGCCCCCGCGCACAAAAGGAAAGAGAAAGGAGAGGAAGCCGGCCCTGGAAGGGGTGAAGGAGGAGACGGGGGTAATTATCGTTCTTCCTCTCTCTCCCCCCCTACCCTACCCTGCCCCCACCCCACTCCTCCTCATCCTTCACCCCCCCTCTCTCCAGGCTTAGAGTTATGCTCCGTGTCACTTTGTTAATGTGCTTGCATCCAGAGAGAGACACATAATGCCCCTCTCTCCGTCCTGTTTATTAGCGAGATCCATTTGCGCCAGGGTCTCTCCTTTTATTTTTTTTTTATGCCGCGACGTGAATGTGCTTTGATAGCAAATAATTACTGTGGTCCTTTTGACATGGAGAATCTACAGGCTGCCCTAGTTAAGCCAGTAATTAGCTTGTCCTCGTTCTCGCCCTCCCCCCTTCCCTCTTATTATTAGTATTATTAGTATTATTGAGAAAGTACAAATTATCCTTGTATGAGTACTGGCCATCAATTCCCCCCTCCTCTCTTCGCCCATCCCTTTCCCTCTTGTGTTCTCCTTTCTCTCTCTCTCTCTCTCTCTCTCCTGTATCTCTCAGCACTTTGGATAAGCAGAATGCAGCTGCACCCGAACATGATAAAGCTCCTCCATCAAGATGATGAACAATTTGGATGAAGAGCCTTCGAGATGAAGACAAAAGCTGAAGAAGTGAAGCTGATACAACCCAAGACAGCTAAAGAATGCAGGCAGCCTGCAGATGAATAGCCCTCATTTGTGAATATACAGATTTTCCGTGATGAATAAAAACGGAGTGTAGGTCACAATAAATAAACTTTTTTCTCTTCTTCTTCTCCTTCTCTCTCCCTCCCTCCCCCCCCCCCGCTCCCAACCCCGCTTTAAATAATAATTCAGGTTCCCGGCACCAAACAGCTGTAAATTGAAGGTTGTGCTTAGTTTTTTGTAAGTCTCACAGGGAATAATTAAGCTAAGCTCATATTGTTTGATATATTAGGGTAATGACGAGCCGGTATAATCTAGCTTGTTCGTTATTTTCGGGGTGTTGTTTTTTAGTTTGCTGTTTGTTTCTTCATTATCTTTGCGGTTCCATTAAGATTACACGTTAAATGTAGAAAAATAACAGTTCGGAAAGCAGCGCGGTCTGCGTGCTGATGTATCTGAAATGAATTCTTAGAATATTTAATTAAAGTAGGAGCTTATTTTCTTTCTGAGGCGGGTGGTGGGAAGCTAAGGTAAAAAAAAGAGAGAGAAATTCACATTATCTGATGTGGCCTGACATGATCACTTTAAACCTACTGGTCCTTCCTCCTCATTGGTGGAAGATAATTAGACTGGGATATCTTCATTGTCAATTGAGTCCATCATTAACCTTCCGAAACTTCCGTGTCAGTATTTCTGAGCAAAAAAAAAAAAAAAAAAAAAATTGAAACAAAAAACCAGGGGGAAGTGTGATATTTTCCAAATTTTTCCAATGTGAAAGCAAATCATTCCTGAAATCTACTGTTCTGGTAATAGCAGATTTTGCAACAATCAATTCAGTTACACATATATGCCCCAAAGGAGCTGGATAATGATTTATTATTATAATCTTTGGTCTGGTATATATGGTGGATTGATTCGTCAAGCCTAGCGGGAATTCAAGAAGACCCTGGATTACCATGGATTAGCTCATCCCTGGTGTTACGTTTTGGACTTGCCAAAAATTGGCATTGCATGTTACGGCTACAATTCTGTACATCAGGGATGGGATAGCACAGTCTGTAGAGCATGAGATTCTTAATCTGAGAGTTGTGGGTTCTTGGGCAACAGATTCCTACATTGCAGGGGGTTGGATGAGATGACTCTCAGGGATCCTTACAACTGTACAATTCTGTGATTCAAAGCCCTCTTGAGTCCAAGGTCTGCATTCCCTTCTAGGCAACTTTTCTGGAGGCCGGATGCTCGTGGTGGAGCAAAACACCTGTGCTGGTCCCGTGGGTAGATCGAGAGGCGAGGTCCTGTCTGGTCCAAGGTCGAAGGAGCAATATGGAGGCAGTCCGTAAAAGCTGAGGCTGGGTGCAGGGCAGGGTTCAGGCAGGAACTGGCGACCAACAATGTTGCTTCCACAACTTGGGCCTGGGGCTGGCCGGCTTTTATCTGCCCCAAGGCATAGGGCAGCCACAATCCTCAGGTGACTCACCTCTCCTGGCCTGGAGGTGAGCACTCCTCTTGTGGGAACTTAGTTCCTTCCACCTCTCTGCCCTGAGCCTCTGCAGCTCAGGAGAGGCTGGAGGGTTACCGGACCCAGAGGCCACCTCAGCTTCCTCTGAAGGGGCTGAGAGTGGAGCACCTGCAGGCAATGGGACTTCCATCACCTCAGGAGCCAGAGCAGACTCAGCTGATGCCCACACCTGAGGATCCAACACAGGTGAGGACCCTTCAGGCACATGCCCCAGCCCCAGCCCAGCTGGTTCTGGAGGCGGGGAATCCTGTGCAGGCTGGGATTCCTCAGGTTCAGCATCCGACTCCGAATCCCAGGCCATCACACCACCGCTCTCTATCATCGCGAGAGTTCTGATACCCATTCGAGCTGGGCAAAACCACTCATGGAGGGTGCAGAGAAAGGGAGGCGAGGGGTCTGGCCTGGGGAGAAGGGGTGTGGCCGCGGCGAGTGCCAAGGGCCAATCAGAGTTCAAGGTATCCCATACCTGCTATACACACTGACCTTGCAATAAGCCCTTTGGAACTTAGTCATACTATTGAATAGACGTGCACACGATTGGACTGTGATGCACACAAATAAATATATAATGTATGCTCAGAGGAGATTTTCCAAACAGTGAAGTCTGCCGTTATTTGGACTCCTAGCTGAAGTGCCAGGTTGCCACTGCCAGGACTGTGGGGTTTCATTTAATCCACGTTGCCCAACTCCAATAGATGAAAGGCTCGCTGCCGCTCAGAGCATCAGGCTGTTACTACTCACTTTCAAATACCGTAATTTTCGCCCCATAAGATGCACCCGACCATAAGACGCACCTAGTTTTTAGAGGGGGAATGCAAGAAAAAAAAATTATTTAAAGGGAGCGCTGAGCTTGCCTTTCTCCCTCCTCAGAGAAAAGCCCCCAAGAGCCGCACACATGCTCCACGCGGCTCTTTAAAGGGAGCGTGGCTCTTGGGGGCTTTTCTGGGAGGTGGGGGAAGGGACAGAACTGTGCGCTCTGTCGCTTCCCCCACCTCCCGCAAAAGCCAGGGATAGCCCCGCGAAGCCTTTGCAGGGCATGGGGTTGAAGGCTCCCTGTGGAGGCTTCGCGCAAAGCTAGAACAGCTAGAGGGAGCGCTGCGCAGCACTCCCTCTAGCTGTTCTGGCTTAGCCGTGCAGCCTGCATTCGCTCCATAAGACGCACACACACATTTCCCCTTACTTTTTAGGAGGGAAAAAGTGTGTCTTATAGAGTGAAAAACACGGTAACTAACTAGTATGTGAACTCATGGGTTCAACTCATGAGTCCTGCTAGCAGAAACCTGCATGAGGAATTCCCCATTCTGTGGATTTGTCCTAATTGCACACTGTCTTCTCCCCATTTTCTTAGAATGGGATTTTCTTCATTTTTCTTTTTTTTTTTAAAAAAATTTTTTTTATTGGTTTTACAAAATTTTAAAAACAAACAAACACTTAAAAAGACATACAAACACGTATAATTTCATAATGTTTTTCATAAACCTCTTTTCTGAGACTCCCCCATACCCCCCCTTTCTGCATCCCAATGTCCATAGTTTTATAGCAACTCCCAATGTTACTTTCCAACCTCTGTCCTTAGTTATCTCTATAATCTGACCTTATATCACTGTATCCCTTTGTTTCTGAAAACCATAACATTCTAACATTCATCAAGTTTATAATAGTCCTTAAGATAGCTTTTGAATTTTCTCCATTCTTCTTCCGCCGTCTCTTTTCCTTGGTCACGGATTCTGCCTGTCATCTCGGCCAGTGACATATAGTCCATCACTTTCATCTGCCATTCTTCCAGAGTGGGTAGATCTTGTGTCTTCCAATACTTTGCGATAAGTATTCTTGCTGCTGTTGTAGCGTACATAAAAAAAGTTCTATCCCTCTTTGGCACCAATTGGCCGACGATGCCTAAGAGAAAGGCCTCTGGTTTTTTAAGGAAAGTACTTTTAAGTACCTTTTTCATTTCATTATAGATCATTTCCCAGAAAGCCTTAATCTTCGGGCATGTCCACCAAAGGTGATAGAAGGTACCTTCAGTCTCTTTACATTTCCAACATTTGTTATCGGGCAAATGGTAAATTTTTGCAAGCTTGACTGGGGTCATGTACCACCTGTAAATCATTTTCATTATGTTTTCTCTTAAGGCATTACATGCCGTAAACTTAACACCGGTGGTCCATAACTGTTCCCAGTCAGCAAACATAATGTCATGACCAATATCTTGTGCCCATTTAATCATAGCTGATTTCACCGTTTCATCCTGTGTATTCCATTTCAGCAACAAGTTATACATTCTTGATAGATTCTTAGTATTGGGTTCTAACAGTTCAGTCTCTAGTTTTGATTTTTCCACCTGAAAGCCAATTTTCCTATCCTGTTTGAAAAGCTCCATTATTTGATGATATTGAAGCCAATTTTGTACTTTATGTTTCAATTTCTCATAACTTTGTAATTTCCACTTATCTCCATCCTGTTCTAAGATTTCCCAATACTTCGGCCATCCAACCTCCATATTGAGTTTCTTTACTGCTTTAGCCTCGACTGGTGACACCCATCTAGGGGTTTTGTTTTCCAACAGATCTTTATATCTTATCCATACATTAAACAATGCTTTTCTAACAATGTGATTTTTAAAGGCACTATGCAGCTTGATTTTGTCATACCATAGATATGCATGCCAACCAAAAACATTGTTAAAACCTTCCAGATCCAAGATGTCTGTGTTCTCGAGGAGCATCCATTCTTTCAGCCAGCAAAAAGCTGCTGCCTCATAGTACAATTTTAAGTCCGGCAGGGCAAAACCCCCTCTTTCTTTAGCGTCTGTCAATATTTTAAATTTGATTCTGGGCTTTTTGCCCTGCCAGACAAATTTCGAAATATCTTTCTGCCACCTCTTAAAACATTCCATCTTGTCAAGAATCTGCAAGGTCTGAAACAAAAATAACATTCTAGGCAATACATTCATTTTAATCACTGCAATTCGGCCTAACATTGACAATTTCAAATTTGACCATATTTCTAGATCTTTTTTAATCTCTGACCAACATTTTTCGTAATTATCCTTATACAAATTCATATTTTTAGATGTCAAATAAACCCCTAGGTATTTCACCTTCTTAACCACCGTCAACCCTGTCTCCTCTTGGAATTTCTCCTTTTCCATATCTGTTAAATTTTTTCCTAGGACTTTAGTTTTTTGCTTATTCAACTTAAATCCAGCTACCTGGCCAAACTGTTGGATTATTTCTAGAACCTTTTTCGTACTAGTGTTTGGCTCTTGCAAAGTCAATACTAGGTCATCTGCAAATGCTCTTAACTGGGATTTTCTTCATTTTTCAGGACACGGCTTTATTCAGAATTCTTACCCACAACTGCAAAGAACCGCAATACCTCAAGGACCATCTCTTCCTATGTAGGTAAAAGGTAAAGGACCCCTGGATGGTTAAGTCCTGTCAAAGGCAACTATGGGGTGCGGTGCTCATCTCTCCAGGCCGAAAGAGCTGACCCTTTTTCACAGACAGCTTTGTGGATCATGTCACAAGCATGATTAAACCGCTTCTGGCGCAATGGAACACCGTGATGGAAGCCAGACCGCACGGAAACGCCATTTACCTTCCTGCCATGATGGTACCTATTTATCTACTTGCACTGGTGTGCTTTCAAACTGCTAGATTGGCAGAAGCTGGGACAGAGCAACGGGAGCTCACTCGTTCCCTATGCGAAGCAACCTGGACCTTGCGATCATCATCTAAAGCCCTTCTTCATGTGACTCCTCTGCAAGATCTCTGGAGGGTGGCAACACAAGAACAGGACTTTTCTGCAATGGTTGCCCATCTGTAGAATGCTTTCCCAAAGGAGGTTTACCTTGCACTTTCATTATACACCTTTAGGCGCCAGGCAAACATTTCCTCTGTAACCAGCTCTTTGGCTGATTGACATCCTATGCCCTTTAAAAAATTGTTGTGGAAGGAAGGGATGATTGGGTTTGTATTTTTATTATGTATTTTTGTGTTCTTTATATTGTGTTTTTATGTTGTGAACCTCCCTGGGTACAGGGTGGTAAAATGATTCTTCAACATCAACTTCGTTGGACTGGTCATGTTGTGCGGATGCCTGATTATCGTCTTCCAAAGCAACTACAGTGGTACCTCGGGTTAAGTACTTAATTTGTTCTGGAGGTCTGTTCTTAACCTGAATCAGTTCTTAACCTGAAGCACCACTTTAGCTAATGGGCCTTCCTGCTGCTGCCACGCCGCCGAAGCACGATTTCTGTTCTCATCCTGAAGCAAAGTTCTTAATCCGAGGTACTATTCTGGGTTAGCGGAGTCTGTAACCTGAAGCGTATGTAACCCAAGGTACCACTGTACTCTATTCCGAACTTAAAAATGGAAAGCGTAATGCTGGTGGTCAACAAAAGAGGTTCAAAAACTCTCTCAAAGCACATCTAAAAAAAATGTAGTACGTATAAGCACCGACAACTGGGAAATACTGGCCTGCGAGTGCTCTAATTGGAGAACAGCCTTTACCAAAGGTGTCATGGGCTTTGAAGACACTCAAACTCAGGACAAAAGGGAGAAATGCGCTAAGAGGAAGGCACGCTTGGCAAATCCACGCCGTGATCAACTCCTGCCTGGGAACCAATGTCCCCACTGTGGAAGGACGTGTGGGTCCAGAATTGGCCTCCACAGTCACTAATGGACTCACTTTTAAAACCGTGTTTATGGAAGACAATCTTAATTGGCTATGCATGATTGCCAAAGAAGAAGAATAAGAAGAAGACAAATTTTATAAACAATAATACCCAAAGATATTGGGGATTGAACCTTGGACCTTGACCATACATACCATGTGCTTCACCACTGAATTGTCCTTCCCCAGATTGGGCCCCCCTGAAAAACACAGAAGCCTTGATTGCTCAGAGAGTAGCTATGTGTGTTCATGTGTCCGCAGGTTCTGAAGAATGTTTGGTAGCCAGGGGTGGCACCAGCGCCCGTAATCCCAGTGTTCCCTCGGGTCTTCCTTTCTGCATGTGCCAGGGGACTGCCATCGGAACAGGGGAGGGAGGCAGGGGGGCCGTTGGGATACAGAGAGCCTCCGAAACTCCTGAGGAGCAGTTCCTCTTCCAGCGGTGGGAAAAGCCACACCTCCTGACCACTGGTGTTAAGTTTACGGCATGTAACGCCTTAAGAGAAAACATAATGAAAATGATTTACAGGTGGTACATGACCCCAGCCAAGCTTGCAAAAATTTACCATTTGCCCGATAACAAATGTTGGAAATGTAAAGAGACTGAAGGTACCTTCTATCACCTTTGGTGGACATGCCCGAAGATTAAGGCTTTCTGGGAAATGATCTATAATGAAATGAAAAAGGTACTTAAAAGTACCTTCTCTAAAAAACCAGAGGCCTTTCTCTTGGGCATTGTCGGCCAATTGGTGCCAAAGAGGGATAGAACCTTTTTTATGTACGCTACAACAGCAGCAAGAATACTTATTGCAAAGTATTGGAAGACACAAGATTTACCCACTCTGGAAGAATGGCAGATGAAAGTGATGGACTATATGTCATTGGCTGAGATGACAGGCAGAATACGTGACCAAGGAAAAGAGACGGCGGAAGAAGAATGGAGAAAATTTAAAAGTTATCTTAAGGACTATTATAAACTTGATGAATGTTAGAATGTTATGGTTTTCAGAAACAAAGGGATACAGTGATATAAGGTCAGATTATAGAGATAACTAAGGACAGAGGTTGGAAAGTAATATTGGGAGTTTGCTATAAAACTATGGACATTGGGATGCAGAAAGGGGGGGGGTATGGGGGAGTCTGAGAAAAGAGGGTTATGAGAAACAATATGAAATTATGCGTGTTTGTATGTTTTTTGTTTTTTTGTTTTTTTTTAAGTGTCTGTTTGTCTTTAAAATTTTGTAAAACCAATAAAAAATTTTTTTTTTTAAAAAAAAAGAAAAGCCACACCTCCAGTGGAGAAGAGAGGGAAGGGGCCAGCCAAGCAGGGAAAGGGCTCAAGGATGCTGCTGAAAGCCCCAGCGCCTCACCTCTCCAGGCTGGCCAGGAGGGACACACGCCACTTCCGTCGCCCAGCTTGCGCAGAGGGGTGAAACGCCAGGATGGGAGGAGGAGGCTTGGGGTGCCGAAGTTCTTATGTTGGGGGAGAAGCCGGAAGGGGCCACTCCCGGATTCTGCAAGTGACTGAGACGGACATGAACTTTGTAGATCTGCACTGTAAATACAGTTTGCACAATAAAACCTGTAAAAGACAGGTCGGAGTCCTGACTGGTTTGTTGTTGTTGTTTAGTCGTTTAGTAGTGTCCGACTCTTCGTGACCCCATGGACCAGAGCATGCCAGGCACTTCTGTCCTCCACTGCCTCCCACAGTTTGATCAAATTCTGACTGGTTACTCATGAGCATCTGACAGCATGCTTCCATGCAACTGTCAGGGAACTGCCATCGGAGCTAGAGGCGGAGGGAGGGCTCCAGAGGGATGCCGGAGAGGGTCCCAGTAGGGAGAGAGGCAGCCCATCTACGAGGGAAGAAAATCAGCGTAACACCAGTGGAGAAGGGGGGCAGATGGAATCGGAGGGGAGGCTCCAGGACTCCTCACCGGAGACCAGCGGAGAGAGTACGGGTACTCCGCTGCCCACACCCAGTAGGAGGAGACTTGGCATCAAACAGCTTTTATGCTGGAAAAGGTTCAAGAGACGCCCACTGACGGATTCTGCCAGCGACTGAGACAGCCACAAAACTTGAGGCTGTCCAGACAGAGAGGGTTCAACCAGGCAACCTAGCCAGGAGTGGCAGCAACTTACGCACGAGCAACCCCTAGAACCATTACAGCAACAATAGCCATAGGAACATACGAAGCTGCCTGATATTGCGTCCTGAACCAATGGCTTCAAGTTACAAGGAAGGAGATTCCGACTAAACATCAGGAAGAACTTTCTGACACTAAGACCTGTTCGGCAGTGGAAAGGTCTCCCTCGGAAGGTGGTGGACTCTCCTTCCTTGTAGGTTTTTAAGCAGCGGTTGGACGGCCATCTGTCATGGATACTTTAGTTGAGCTTCCTGCATTGTAGTGGGTTGGACTAGATGACCCTTGGTGCACCTTCCAGCCCGACAATTCTATGATCTTGTGATTTCAGCATAAGGCAGCTTGTCTATGTGCCTCTGAAGGAAATGGCCAGACAACACCGATTCGAAGAAAAGAAAGGGAGAGCAGAGGAAAAAAACAGAACAAGGACCCTCCCAGCCAGGCAGCCTTGTAAAATAACTCTAAACAGTAAACCGAAAACAGTGATTACTGCTGTTGTTTATGCTGACATTAAGAAAGTCGTTAACCACCTTCCCACCGGATTATGTTCCTGTAGCCAGTGTGCCAATGAAAGGTGGAAGCTCCCCCCCTTTAACGATTCAACGTTACATCGAAATGTCACCGGTGTAGTGACATTAAAGACCCGATAACATGGGGCACGTTTTTTTTGTCTTAATATATGCTGCTTGGCACACGGATTCCATGGAAGGTGTGTGTGTGGGGGGGTTGCTTTAAGGACATAGAGCACCCTTTGCGGCCTCAGATCCCTGTATGCTCACCCTCCTTATCTCTGGCGAACCCGGGGCTCATAGCAACAGCTGAGCACGACTATAACAACCGTACTCAAGTGCATTTAAATAGGAATCCATCATTGGAAGCATGGGGGGGGCGGCAAATAAAGGGCATGTTGTTCGTGGTGATTATACTTCTGTAATTGACACGAGAGGCAGGGACGGCCACCAGTTTGGGTGGCTTTAAGAGAGGATTTTAAAAGCGCAGACTCGGGCTATGGGCGGGTACTAAGCAAGACAGCTATCTTCTGCTTCCAGTGTCAAAAGCTGGTGCCAAACGTATTGTTCTGCCCAGGGCCTGCTAAGGCTTGTGCCACAAGGAGATCACTTCAGTGCTACTAACACAGGGGTTTGAAACACTCGATTGTTTATTGAAATAGACACATCCAAGACATTAAAGCCATCCAAGATAGTGAGGGGAGAGAAACTTTCTGCTGTCCATCAGGCAATGGCTTTTCTGTTAAAACTTATTTATTTGGTTTTTCAAATTACAGTTTTTAAGTCACATATCCAGCATACAACATAAAAACAAAATCCCATAGAATCTTCTGGACTTCCCTCACCCCCTTTGTGCGTGAGCTCCCGTTTCTCGGTCCCTGCTCCTGCCAACCTAGCAGTTCGAAAGCACGTCAAAGTGCAAGTAGATAAATAGGTACCGCTCTGCCGGGAAGGTAAACGGCATTTCCGTGCGCTGCTCTGGTTCGCCAGAAGCGGCTTAGTCAAGCTGGCCACATGACCCGGAAGCTGTACGCTGGCTCCCTCGGCCAATAAAGTGAGATGAGCGCCACAACCCCATTGTCAGCCACGACTGGACCTAATGGTCAGGGGTCCCTTTACCTTTACCTAATATCTGTGTCTTGGTGTCTTATTCTTTACAAGGGGGTGGTTACAGGGTCTCGACACGCAACATCTCGTACGGAGCTCCAACACATTCTCCACTCTTGTCCCCTATCAGGCTGAGGTCTGATATGGCAAGACCTTTAGTA